CTCAATACACCATCACTGCCTCTCAGCTCAATACACTGTGACGCTCACAGCAAAAAGCAAGACTTTGAAGTAGCTTGAATTTGTTATCGAGCCTAAAAAAGAAGAATAAAGCTAGCCCAAAAGGAGATGTTGGTAGCCAAGAGTCTGAACAAGGCAGCTGTTCCTGAAACCCTCTTCGCCGATCCTTCTCCGGCCAACCTCCAATCCACCCGCCTTGTTGTCCATGTATTTATCTGCACCAATTTCTCCCCCAAACTCCATGTTTTTTTTTGGTGGGTTTGGTTTATTATAATAAACGATTGGATTGATGCAGGCCAATGGTGACTCCTCATCTTGCTGGGTTTACGGTGCTTCTGGTTCCCGCGTTTACAAACTCTTGGTACTCTCATTCCCCTTCACCCACAAAACCCTAAAACTGTATCTGCTAGCTTTTCATTGCTGTTTGAAATGGGGCGTGATTTGTTTTCCATTCATGTGGTGACAAGTTAGGTATTGCTTGCAAGTTTTTAGCTTCTCTGTGCTCGAACTTCTTGGCGCTGCGTGTTTAAGTTTTGGTTTTAATTTGATGTCGAATGTTTTATTTGGGATGATAATGAGGTCGGATTTGGATTTATATGCTCAAAGTTTGTGTAATTTTATGTTTTATTACTTTATTTAGCTGAAATGGGTTGGTCCTGATGTAGCATGAAAAATAACTCGGTGGACCAGCATGAGCGGTTAGCTCGGATATGCCGGTCTAAGGAAGCTTAGAGCTAATTTATGTGATACACGGTATTAGTTAAAGATATTCATAAAACTTGGTGTATATCTACACAATTATTGAGGAGTATCAGAGTTCTTGTTGGTTAAGGAAACTCATTATCTTGGTGAGTAAGTCATTAAACCCCTTATAAATAAGGGACCAGGTTTATTTTCTAATCTTAAGCTCTTAAGACTACTCGATATACACTATAAAATATCTGTTTTCTGACTTGAGCGTCGGAGTGTCTACGCCGGGGGTCGCCCCGACGCTTTGCAGGTCGATTCGGTTCTTGAAGACAAAGGTGATTGAGATGTCCGAACACTCACGCAATTCAGATGAGGCGGTTCGACCCGCAATCTCGGTGAGTCGATTATTTTGGCTTATCAATTGGCGTCGTCTGTGCGACTCC